TTTAAGGAAATGCTAAACTCATCCTATTTATTTTCCTTTGATCACTCATTTATTTCTGAATGTAGTTCTGCATTTATATTTCCTCTGCACAACATGCTAATGAGAGGGTGTCAACCATGGACTTGGTGGGGTCATGTCATAGCTGGGGGCACGTATAATTCACACCCTCTCATTAGCATGTTGTGCAGAGGAAAAAATAAAGGTGGAACTACATTCAGAAATAAATGAGTGATCAAAGGAAAATAGTTAGGATGAGTTTAGCATTTCCTTAAACATTTTCCATTTGCCCACCAATTTATATTATTTATTTGCCTACTTTCATCACATATATAATTATTTATTTATGTATTTAAACAATAATACGTGTATTTATGCACACATTTATTTATTTATTTGTGTATTTATTTATTTATTGTTTTTGCAGGTTTCGTCCTCCATACTCCACAAGCATTGTGTTTGTATGATAATCAGCTTATGCTCGTTTATGCTTGTTATTTCCTCTATGCTTTTTTTATTTAAAAAAATATTAAATCTCTTGAAATGTTTAAGTTATGGATAGACCAATTAATCTGCTGATATTTGGCTATTTTGAGTTTAATTGTGGGTCAATAACAGTTTAAAAATCAGCCTCGTCAGTTAGCCTATAATCAACTTAATAATCTTTTTATAAGTATTACATTTATTAAGTCTTATATAAAATTCTGCAATAATTGTCTTTGAAATTCAGCATTTAATTAACATTCTTTTGTATCATTAAATTATGCACACATACAAATCAATGGCAAATCTTTTAAATATTTATTTTTATTTTCTCTATGCCTGTTATTTGATAAACACAAATATTAAAAAAATTAAATATATTTTAAAACATAATGAAATATATTTATATATATAGATACAGACTGATATTTGGACATTTTGAGATTGATAACCATGCCGATTAATTATGGTTAACCATAACCATGCTGATTAACAGTAGTTAACCTTAAAAATTTGCCTTGCCAATTAAAAATTAACATTTTATGTTTTCAGAAATTTTTGTAGTGAATTTCTTAAATTACAGTAAATATTCTGTAGTAAGTGTTCAATTAACTTCTTTCTTTTTTTGTAGTTTATATTATGTAGTTTATATTGGCATTATATTGTTGGTATCATATACTTGTAGATATCAGAATAACATTAGTTATTAAACAAAAACAATTTGTTAATAAAATTAGTTTAGAGGCTGGTTGGATTTGCTTGCTTCTGCACCCTTCCTGTAATTTAAAGGATTATTAAACACAAAAGCAAATATATTACACTAGTAATTTAAATGTAATAATTTTAATCCAGTGGAGTGTTTTCTCCACCGTTGCTAAGATTGGAGTCAGATTTGGTTTATCAGCTGTCATACTTGCCACTCCCTGTCTTTACCACAGTATTTCTACAAAACACTGCAATAGTTGTCAAACAAGTGTTTGGCTGGTTGGGTCCAGCCTGCAAGTGTATTATTGTACATGTCTCACTGTTTGTAAGCAGTGACAGACTGCAGTCATCAGCCAATTGCATCAGGGTCACATTCTGAGTCACAGTTGGTCCGTGGTTACATCACTCATAAGGTAATCTGCAGGAACATGTTGAACAAGGAACAACAGTTTCTGGACATGATTGATAGACTGGGTATTTTTACATGTAGGTGTGACAAACCATTGCATTAATCGTAATCCAGCAAGCAAACCAAGCCTTATCAAAAACAAGCCTTTTAATGAGTTCAGTCTGATCTGAATTTATTGATCATCTAGACTGAATTGGGCCAAAGTGTTTTGGTGTGGTGCTATAGTTTTAGGCTGGGTGCAGGGAAGCCACTGTAAATCCTTGAGATTAGGCCTGTTTAAAAAGCCTGCCACACCCTTGATTAAAAACTGGTTTATTTGGTGTTTAAAATCGGCCCTGCAATGCATGCTGGTCCAGAAGGCTACACAGATAAAGTAACAGGATTATAAAATGTGTTTATAAAGGAACACTCTTAAAGAGATTTTTAGCTGAACAGCATGAGTATTAATTAAGTGGGTGTTAATTAGTTTCTCATCATGCTGATGCATCTGTCAGTGGCACAATGGCTGAGGAGTGGAAACATTCAGGCACATTAAAGTCACCGCATCTGATTACATTTCCTCTGATTTCCATGGCATTGTTGACAGGGTGTTATCATGGGTGAATCCTGCACAACATGGGCTGCTTTTTTTATAAAGCCTCATGCTGGTCTGGAATACAATAAAGAACAGATGGGATTAAAGCAATTATTTTGGTCACCTCTGATTAATGAGAGAAACCATGACTTAGTAGAGCTTCTACTCTAATAAGTCAAACCTATGAATTTACAGACATTTTTTCTGAAAAAAATGAAATCTAATAATTTGAAAATAAAGTTTTAGAAGACATGTCAACAGTGTTACATTGCATATCGTATTATATATATTATATCAAAATTTTCACTGTAAAAAACTCTGATATTTACTGCAGTTGCCAGAAATTTACTGTAAAAACCTTTCTAATATTATAAAATATTTAAATGATCTCTCTCTCTCTCTCTATCGCTCTGTGTATATATATATATATATATATATATATGCACTGTAAAAAATGTTAACGTTTTTTAAAAATGTATATATATATATATATGCACTGTAAATGTTAAAGTTTTTTTTCAATTAAATTTACAATAAAAAACTATATTTCATTAACTGATATAATGCACTAAATTTGTGCTAAAGAAAAACACTTTAACTTTGGTTTAACTTTATTATTATTTTTTTTTTACAAATTTTGTTTAAGCATTTTCATACATGTACTAAAAGACCATTCAAAAAATCGATAAAACAGATTCAAATAAAATAAAACAAATGACTTTTCATTTATTATCACATTCTTCTGAGA